TTATCAGCTTGCAAACGTTCATCGATTATTTAGTCAGTCTTTTTTTAAGCTGTTTTCGGCCCCATTATGGTGTTCACAGATATACATATTTCATTATTTTACTGTTCGTTCACGTATATTAATAAATTTTTCATTAGCCAGACCGCTAGACAATGTAGTATACAACAGTTACGTAATAAAACGCATTACATGTCATATTTAATCAAAATATTTACCATCGTTATATACTACCTTCCGCTTTCAAATAATTTGTCAATCAACATGACTCGTTTTTTGAGTTAATAAAATCAAATAATGATCTGACCAATTTTTGCAAGCTTTTCATATATATATACCAATTGCGATGATACGTTAAAGAAGATGATTCAAATAATGTATAATAACTATTGTTAAAGTATGAATCAACATAAAAACACTAACTAACGCTAATACTGCCAGATTCCTCAATGAAATGCAAATATTGTTACGTTATATAATGTATAGAAAACATATACACAATACATATTTTAAGTATATATTACATATAAAATTAATTTATGTATGATTTATCTAATATAATAAATATTGCAAACTGATCAGATATTTTCGTCTCTTCTTTTCATTTATAGTGGCAAATCTATTGGTATGTAATCAAATAACGTAATTAATAATAATAACTCTATTAATATTTCATTAATGTTAATAATAATTATAATTTATTACCGATTAATTCGTATATATTTATCATAGAAAAATATTATGTCAGCAGAATTGGCCAGTATTACTTCCAAAGAGGAATTTGGCAGTTTCACTCCTTCATCGATTTCGTCCTTTATTGATTCAGAATATGTACTTTATTATTAAACATTATTGACGTTTATTGTTAGCCATTTTGTCGCTAGGACATTTTGACTCATACTTTAACAATAGTTATTATACAATACTTGAAACATCTTCTTTAACGTATCATCGCAATTGGTATATATATATGAGAAGCTTGCAAAAATTGGTCAGATCATTATTTGATCTTATTAACTCAAAAAACGAGTTGATTGACAATCACGGAATACTCAATATTAATCAATTCCCCTACATTATCGAATAATTATGGATCTGCTATAAGATATTGCAATTAATTATAATTACACATCACATATATGTAATATTCAAGATATCTTAAAACTTGATAGAACGTGTGTAAGTGAATATTCTATTCATTTCAAGAAGAAAAAGTTACTAAAATATATAACAATATATAATAATATATAATAATATATATTATTATTTTCTAAATATAAGTACTCATATCTATACATCTATATGATTGATATCTTTATAGTTATATATGTGTATTTAAATTTTCGAATGAAAATAATGTCATCTAGTGATATGTTAATCTTTTATATAAGAGAGATTAATTACATTAATTACATTAAAGCGTATTTCGTCAGCGTGAGAATGAACACATCTCAGAATTTAGCTGTTTTGTTATTGATGAATAACCTCAGAATTTAGCTGTTTTGTTGTTTTTCAATCCCCGACATATTCCATATTAAAAAATGAAATAAATTACATTAAGTGAATAAATAAATAATTATATTAAATTTTCCATAAATGATCAAGTAATTATGAATTTACTATGAGATACAATCATCAATAATTAAAGCGTCGCCTCTATATAATATAGTATTTATAAGGTATCTTTTAGAAATAAATAATCAAACGAGATGGATATTCTACTCATCTTAGATCATTAGATAAAATTAATTACTAGATAATTTAGATTATCATTAGATAATTTAAATATGAATTTGGAAACTCTTTTCTTTTCCTAGATATAAGTACTTATATTTATACATGATTTATATCTATATAGTTATACATGTATATTAAAATTTCGAATGGAAATAGTATGTCATCAAATAATACATTAGTCTCTTATACAAGATGAGATAAAACGAATTTTGTCAACGCGAGAATAAATATATCTGCTACATTAATTTAAAAAAATGTTCCAGAAATTCTGAAGAAATTTTAAGATGCTTATTATAAAATTAAAACTCATATCTACAGAGCTGATCATTGTTCTTTTGCCTTGCGATATCAGATATGATGCAAAATAGTAGGATATACCGCGTATCTATAACGCGACGCTTACGCCATATTTATGAAATATGCGATTTCGGAATGTAACATTATTATATATTGTTGAAATTCAGCATAACATTTACTTTAAACTTATACCTCATAAAAATTTTAAGATACCGCAAAAGGACAATAATAATTATAGAAGACATATTAAGAAATCCAATTTTCTCCTTAAATCTAAGTACACAGTTATAAAGAACATCAAACACCATAAATGTTTGCATGAGACATTTTTCAAACGTCTTACGGTTTCGAAGATATAAACTCACAATCAATTTAATCGAATTTCCTTCAAGGGGTTTCGATTTAACCCCTAATTGTACGAAAAGACACGTACAAAAAAGACAAAAAGTGTGAAAAAATTAATTTCAATTTAATGAATCTGAATAAAAATACTGTGTTAACATACCTATTGGAAGATATAGTCGTGAAGATTGCAAGCAACTTGGAGCTGGGCCGCAGCAGCAGGGACGGCCGCTTGCCGTAGTTGGATCGAGATCATCGACTCCTCGGGTCATCGTCACCTGCAGCGATACCAGTAGGCTGAGCCGGGCTGACGAAGGACTGTTCGGTTGGACGCAAAGAACCGAACTGAACGAAACGCGCAAAGCCGCTTTGCTTCATAGCATGTTATATAGTTATGCGCGTGCGCCTAGTACAAATGTATGTGTATTTGTCAGTATAGAAATTGTCAATGTATAAAGTATCGATCTGCGCAAAATTCAATGCGCAAAAATTAAATAGCCCGACATATGTGTGCATACAAGATGAAAATGTATATAAGTATTGTTGTAGAGATGTATGTATATAAGAAATTAATAACAAACAAAGTTCTCTCTCTCCCTTTCTCTCTCTCTCTCTCTCTCTCTCTCTCTCTCTCTCTCTCTCTCTCTCTC